ACAAATTCTTTGTTTCAGCCAACTCTCAGCGGAGGGGCAACCAGTACAACGCCATCTCCCCGGACAAACAGCATTGGAATATTTCGTTTCGTTGATTTATATATCTCTTCATATGTTTCTTCATCAATTTCTATAGTAGTCACAGTTTCTTCTACATCTCCTAAGATCATATTTAAATGTTGATCGTAAGCGTGTAATCTGCCTCGAAGCTCTCGGTCATTTCTCATTTTCACATAAATTCGCTCATCTAGGCTGAGCCTGATAAGATCCAGGGGCTCCTCTACAGTGTTGGTAGTTTGTTGCTGGTCTACGTCGTCCGCCATGTTTCAAACCCTGCGCCCTTTCCCGCTTCTCGCGATAACACAAGAGCAACCTGGACTTCTTTTTTTAAAAAAATTTTAGATTCAGGTGATACATGTACAAGTTTGTGACATGGATATTCTGTGTAATGGTGAAGTTTGGGCTTCTGTGAATGAACTTCTGTAAAGGTGGGACTGGATCCCTGACGTCTAGCAGTGCCACCCAACAGAAAGGTATCTAGTAAGTGGCTGGCTTGGCGTGGCATGGTGGTGTGTGCCCAGGGTCCCAGCTACTCAGGAGGCTGAGGTGGGAGAATCTTTAGAGCCTGGACAGCCGAGGCTGCAGTGAGCTGTGATCGGCGCCACTGCACTCCAGCCTGGGCAACAGAGTGGGACCCATCTCAAGAAAAAATAAAAACAAAGAGAAAAGTAGCTGGCTTTCTAATCATGTTCAGACTTTCCAATCTGTACTCAATGCTTTTGGTTTTAGGATTTTGCTTTTCTAGTAACATATGTAATGAAGAAGTCCCATCTGATGCAGGGGAGACTTGCATGTAGAAGGAAGTTGTCGCTGTTTTTTAAACTGTGGTATCTTCTCCTCTCACAAGTATGTGTCGTTTGTATTTACTATGATAATTGAGAATTTAGTAAAAGTTAATGGAGCAAGTTAGTTCCCTAGTTGCCTACGAGCAGCAATAAACCCACGTGTTGTTTTTGTTTGTTTGTTTTGTTTTTGTTTTTTTTTGAGACAGTGTCTCACTCTGTTGCCCAAGCTGGAGTGCAGTGGCATGATCTCTGCCCCCTGCACCCTCTGCCTTTCAGGTTCAAGTCATTCTCCTGCCTCACCCACCCAAGTAGCTGGGATTATAGGTGTGTGCCACCACACCTGGCTAGTTTTAGTAGAGATGGGGTTTTGCCATATTGGCCAGGCTGGTCTTGAACTCCTGACCTCAGGTGATTCGACCACCCCAGCCTCCCAAAGTGCTGGGATTACAGGCGTGAGGCACCGTGCCCGGCCACCCAGGTGTTTCTAATTTTATACACGGGCTGCTACAAGAAAACCAATGCTGGGAGATGGTCATACATTCAGCTCAGGTCAACTCAGGGTACGCTCATCCTACAATGTGAGAATAGAGCTACAGAAGTTATGGGCAAGAAGGGTCCAGGAGCTTTAACATCCCACACATACCTTCCGGCTTCTATGCTGCTCACTTATTTCATTTTGGACAAAAGTTTGTTGATTCTCCTTACTCAGGCTAGTTTCCCGCATCATACTGAACAGAATTCCCCCAAGGAACAGCCTCTTGGCTAAATCCAATGTACACCTGCCATTCACAGATGGAGGGCTCTAGCAAGATTCTAGAGCAGGGGTCCCCAACCCCTGGGCCATGGATCAGTACTGGTTTGTGGCCTGTTTGGAACCGGGCTGCACAGCAGGAGGTGAGGGGCAGGGGATCCAGTGAAGCTTCGTCCGTATTTATAGTTGCTCCCCATGGCTTGCATTTCCCTCTGAGCTCCGCCTCCTGTCAGATCAGCAGCAGCTTTAAATTCTCATAGGAGCATGAACCCTATTGTGATTGCACATGCGAGGCATCTGGGTTGCATGCTCCTTATGACAATCTAATGCCTGATGATCTGTCACTGTCTCGCATCACCCCTAGATGGGACTGTCTAGTTGCAGGAAAACAAGCTCAGGGCTCCCACTGATTCTATATGATGGTGAGTTGTAGAATTATTTCTTATATATTACAATGACATAATAATAGAAATAAAGTGCACAATAAATGTAATGCACTTCAGTCATCCTGAAACCATCCCCCACCACCCCTGGCCCATGGAAAAATTATCTTCCGTAAAACCAGTTCCTCATGCCAAAAGGTTGGGGACTGCTGTGCTACAGCCTCTGGCTTTCAAATAAGGTAGACCCTGGCTTCACTTCTAAAAGGAAGACAAATGACTTTCTAGTGCTATTTGCCCATTTTAGACAAATCTTTCTCGCCTTAGACTGAGGGCAGGTAGGCAGGATCATTGCTGGTGTGGCTTCCTGCTTGAACATTGCAGTTTCTCCGAGTTGAAGGTAGAAAATTAAGATGTGATCACCGAAGGGGGAACATCACACACAAATAAGCTTCTGACGTAGTTTACATAGCACTTGGATGGAAAGGGCCATCCTTTTCCCCCTTTCCTTGTGGAATTGGGAATCTGACAGTAAGTGGCCAATGAAAATGTATCCTATCTGGTCACAGTGGCTCATGCCTGTAATCCTAGCACTTTAGGAGGCTGAGGCTGGAGGATCACTTGAACCCAGGGGTTGAGAGCAGCCTGGGCAACCTAGTGAGACCCATTTCTACAAAAAAAAAAAATAAAAATTACCTGAGCATAATGCTGCATACCTATAGTCCCAGCTACTTAGGAAGCTGAGACAGGAGGATCCATGGAGCCCAGGAGTTTGAGGCTGCAGTGAGTTATGATCGTGCCACTGCACTCCAGCCTAGGCAAGAGCGAGGCCCTGTCATTCTGACCCAGGTGTTACTCTGAGCAGCACTGGCAGCATTTGGGTAGGCCATGCTTGGTTCTCCTGGCACAATTTTTTCTTTGGCTTGGGGATATCGCCAGTACATGACAAGACAAAGGAGCAGGAGAAATGGAAGACTTCCAGCATTGTTCACATTGCATGCTTGGAAGTATTACTTGGGGGTGGAAAGCAAATGCATCTTGTGGCATCTGAGTTCCCAGCAAGGATGTCAGCTGAGCTGAAGGCAAAAAGGGAAGGCAGAGAATTTTATAGAATAGGACATCTGGGACAGTCACATGGAGGGAGATTCAATACTATTCAGTCCCTGGCGTTATTTCTCATTCCTTAAGTTCACATTTTTTAACTTTGAAATTGAGAAATGATCACATTGAATAGCAATGATTAAACATGCAGTTGATCCAGTTACTTCGTCATTCTTTATTTAGAAATGTCCCTAGTCTAGGAGGCTGATGGGTTCTGATGACCTGGGAAGAACTCTCTTGTTACCAAGGCTGAATCTCAACAGAAGTTTCCAAGACCCAAGGGTCACAGCCATGTGCCAGTAGGTAGAGAGAGTTGGAAAATCTGCTCCATACGGCCAAATGGGCATTACATGCTAGGCAAATGCCAACCTAAATGTAGCCCTCTGTGTGGTCAAGGCTGTTGTCAAAAGCAGAAAGAGCTGGCTCTAATTCCTCCAAACCAGCATCCAACTCAGCCTTCCAACTGCCAGCTGCTCCAGCCCCTTAAAGTGATAACTCAGGACCCAGAATGACCTCTCTTGTGCCATTGGAGGCAGCCAAATCTTTGTGGTTTATTTTCTACTTACCTTTGACAAGAGGAAATCTCTACACACTTCTGTGTATAGTTCCAGAAACATGTTTTACCTTATCATCGTGGTCAAAGACTGCTTTGTAAGCTCTCTGCATTGGGGATAACCAAGTATTTGTGTTAACAAGTTAGTCTTTGCTCTCAAAGTTTATATCACACACACACACACACACACGTGCGCTTGAACCCGGGAGGCAGAGGTTGCAGTGAGCTGAGGTAGAGACACTGTGCTCCAGCCTGGGCAATAGAGTGAGACTCTGTCTCAAAAACAAAACAAAACAAAACAAAACAACCCCTTTGCTAAGATCCTGCTGTGTGCCAGGTTCTAGAGAAACAAAAATAAATAAATAAGATATGGTACTTTTTCCAGAGGAAGCCGCACTCTAGATGTGAAGAAAGAGAAGTAAGTAGCTGAAGAGAACATGGAATAGCAGTGCTAAAACAATTTAGGGTGCCAAGAGGAAGGGACTTCCCACTCTGCAGGGAAACTGCAGCAGAGAACCTGGTACAGAAGCACAAGGAGGAGCATAGCAAGTGGAAGAAATGGACATATATTAATTGCCTACTGAATACCAGGCACCATGCTGGGCACTTAAGTGCCTAATTTTATTATTTAATTTTTACCCTAAGAAAAATTGTGTTTAGTTAAGTAACTTTGCAAAGCCACCCAGAGTGGCATTTCTATTTTTCTTTTTTAGAGACAGGGTCTTGCTCTGTCACACAGACTGGAGCACAGCGGCGTGATTATGGCTCACTGCAGCCTCAACCTCCTATACTTAAGTGATCCAGGATGCCATTTCTGGTTATTGTCTCAGAAGTCATTGATTTTAACACTTTAGAAGAGAGATTGACAAACTTTTTCTGTAAAGGGCCATATAATAAATATGGGAAGTAAAATTTCCTCTTTAAAATTTCCTTTCCTGTTAAAGAATAAGTGTGCTAATAACTTTGTTAAGTCCTATCCTATGTAGCTGTTAGACATGCCATGCTTACAGGCACGTAGTACATTCTACGCCCTTGTACTTTAACCAAGATATCTGTGCTGGACTTTGCTTTTACTTGTTTAGAAAAGTTTTAAGTTATTATCCAATCAGGTTTTGGTTTTGATTGTGAGGTCTGGCTCCAGCCAATGGAGATCAGGCACAACAGTAAGGACAAACCCAAATGCATAAGGAATAAATATGTCAGTTTTCCTTTGCTCATGGTACTCTTGTGGCAAGAGGGCTAGTGACAGTACCCTTTCTGTAGCCCAGGAAGTAAAAATAGCGTTGCTGAAAAATCCTTTGTCTCAGTCCTAATTTTTCTTTTGCGGCACAAAGCATCTATTCCTAACATAAATGTTTCAGGTTTTGTGGGCCACATAGTCTCTGCTATAATTATTCAACACTGCCACTGGAACAGCCATAGATAATACAGAAATGAATGAGCATAGCTATGTTCAAATAAAACTTTATTGGCAAAAATTGGCAGTGATCTGGCCCACAGGTTACAGTTTGCTGACCTTTGGTCTAGAAGAGCAATTACAGGTACCATTTTGTTTGGGGATATTTCTGGAGAGGGAGCCTATAGGTTTTATTAGCTTGTTAAGTGGGTCAGTGACTACTGGGATTTTTGGTCAGTGACAGTTTCAGAAAGTATTATAGAACCTCACAGAGAAATTATTGCAGGCTGGATTAATAGAGATTCAGACTGACCCAATTTTCTAGCATTTTACATCATTGAG